ACGATGAAGCACATGGCTTGGAAAGTGACAACCAACAAAGGAATGGCCACAAGGCCCACAACAGATCGGCCCTCTCCCTGCCGCTACATATTTCCGCCACAATTTCAAGCTGCGGCCACATAGTTTTCAGAGAAACTCCTTTTGCCTACGACATCTAACCACAATTATCCTTGGAAAGTTATAATTGAAATTCTAAATTTTATTTCTACATTTTGGCTAGAGAAAAACATGTACTACCAACCCACTCTGGCTCTATTTTGTTTGTAAACATGAAAAAGACAAATATCAATTTTATCAAATAAAACCTACCTATACATGAAAAAACATTTGAAAACATAAGCAGAAAATCAAACTCAATCCTAGAAATGCCTTCAAACACACCTTAAATAAATTTAAAGAGGGTTATTCTGTGAATTAAGCAAAGGTTTAAAGTCTTTGGCTATGTTTGGTATGCATTTTTGGGTGGAAAGGAAAGGAAAAGGGCTAAGAATTGATATACTCCCTTATTTGGTATGTATTTTAGAAAAAAAAAAATAAAAAGGTAGAGATTTGGAGGGTGACTTCCGTCGGCCCCACTTTTTTCTGTTCCTTTATTGAATGGAGAATTGGGATGGAAATGACAGTGGACGTTTGCTTTTCTGTTTTATAGTTTTCGTGAGCCCCACATCATCGCCATTTAATGGCATCAAACGCATAACAAGGCACCGCCGTGAAGCCTACATTGAGGAAGCCCGTGCTTGTCAAGGTCAATGCCCTCAAGCTAGGAACGAACGGCCACAACCTGATTGTCAAGGTCATGAACTTGAACATGGTGTTGTAGAAGGGCCAATCAGTGTACTAGTACCTTTGTCAAACTCGCATTGTTGAGTGCCTCATTAGCAACAAGACCAGATTGATCCTCTTCATTGCTAGAAATGATTAAGGTATAAGTCTATTGTTGAGTGGTAGATGGATGATGCGACTATCATTTCCATATTTTCTAGTTTTGCGTTGAAGCAATCAGTGCAAGGGGAAGCTTCCCTATTTTCTTGTTTTGCACAAAAATAGTCTACGCAAAGAGAAGCTTCCCTCGTTTTATGAAAACTACCTAATCGGCGATTGTCCTCCAACGACAATAATGGTGACTTTAACGATTTGGCAGTAGAGGTGGAGAACTCCGATGACAGATAAGGGTCAATGCAATATGGCCGTCGTTGAAATTGAAATAAAAAGATAAATAGACTGCTCTGTTTCTTTGCAGATTAAATGTTCAAAATTTCTTCTCCTTTTAATTTAATTCCCGTTTGTTCCTCGATCTTCATACTACCTTCCAAACTTTAAATTTCCTCATTTGAACCTTTATAGAAGCCATAAGATTTTCATTTTATTAAATTAAATTTTCATAACCTTCATTTATATAAATTTCCATTCATTACCTTGGATGAACCGAAAGAAGAAAATATAATCCTTTTTTTTTATTAAATGATACAAAATAAAAGAAAACAGTGCCCATTTTTTTTCTTTTCTTATTATATCCCTTCTCTTTTTTTCTCTTTCATGACATCAAACATAACCTCAGTGAAAAAAGATTAAAGTCATTTTGATAGACCAGAGTGGATGCAGTTACAAACAATTTCCCAACTGGGAATTCCACTTCAGGTAAGAAACAAGCAAAACAGCAACATTGTAACATTGACCATGATGTAATTAAAAGACTTAAATAATCTGGCATCGAAGAGAGCGAAGTCAATGCCCTCGTAACTAACTATGGATTTTGATATCTTCCTTTTTTTTTCAAACCAGTTCTGCCTACCCTTGAAGCATTCGCAAACTCCACCGAGTACCCATGGAGCTTGAAGAAAAGCAGAAGATGTAATTTACAGGTGTATTTATACTTAAACATTTGATGGGGGCTTGTAATCAAGCATCTCCTTTATATTCAACCGAATTGAGGGCCCCATCGATGAGCATATATGAGCACTTTTCCAATATACTCCCTTGGCACCTGATGGTTTGTTTGCTTCTACAGATTTCTGCCAAGCAGGAATAGATTGAATCAGTGACATTCAGAAAATTTTGTTAATGGGGGAAAATTATGGAATACATCTAATGGAGACAGAGACAAACCACAATTCATAGAGTTCAGCTAGGCAAATTCACACACAAACCTTAATTTTGAGTAAAATTTTGGCAATTTTCACATAGATTTAGGGTGGCTAAATTATTTTCCTTCCTATAATAGGCAGGAGAAAACTATTTTTCATAAACTGGGGGCAAATTATTTTTTCATGAACTTGTGGGTTCAAAATTAAAACCTTCTTTTTCAGTATATTTTTTCACAAATTTAGTACGAAGTTAATCAATCATTTTATACAACAAGAGAGAGGGAGAGAAAGAGGCAGAGGGAGCGTACTACTGCAGCAAGCAAGTTCACAAGAAGGTCTTCCTCCGAAAAGTCTGCCTTCCCAAAGGGCAAGTGAACTATCCCAGTTTTATCGGCTCTATATTCAATCTTGCCCTTCTTGAATTCCTCTATTGCCTGAAACAAATCACAACCTGAATTCATTTCAATGCACAAAACAGGGAGTGTACAAGCCAGCAGAAATCACTTTTCAATAGCGTGGCCGGCTGGGTAACAATCCTCAATTTGTTTTCTATTTTCTAAGTATATCTTGCAGTTTTCCTCTTGGGAGCCCAAAAGTTGGACATTTTGCATGAATTATAAACTTGTAATCATTTAGAAGAGAAGAGAATAAGGTCTACAAGAGGAAGCAAAACATAAATAAGACTAAGAAGAGTTCACTTCTGGTCACCCAGCTACACCAAGACTACCAAATGGGTTTGTGCTCTAGGAACTAACTTCTGCGCTCCTTAAGGCTTGCAATCAGGGCACTGACTGCCTATCGTATGGTTCAAAAGAGACCCAGTCTGCAAAGAAAGTGATTGCAGTAGTACACCCCATATCTCCTCCATTAACCAGAGAGACCCAGTCTTAGAAGAGCAGCTTTTGATGGTTTAAATAATTTCAATGGTGTACAAAGATTGTATTCAAACCAAAAGTCTTTCTTGAAAATTCCCTTGTCTCACAATGCCATGAGAAAATGCATAAAAATAAGCTGGAGGATACATGCTCAAAAGCTAATAAGGCTATATCTTAAGTAAATATATCTATGCCTAAAAGTAAATAAAAATGTGCCTACATACACGAATTTCCACACGCAAGGAAAACATAGTTACATCATACCTGAGGTAGATTGGTCGTAACAGTCCCAGCTTTTGGATTTGCATGAGCCCTCGGGGGCCTAAGATTTTTCCTAGCTGGGCAACCTGATGGACAGGAAGATGTAAATAAATCCAACTTATGGAAGATGACCAGCTTTATAACATACATTATTTTATTTGCTTTCACTAAGAGCAAAGAAAAGGAAATCACATCAGAGTTGATTAAGAAAAATACAACTACTCTAAGCAGACTTTAGACCATTGCTCTTCAGATCCAATCCACTTTCTTCCAAGTTTCCTTGTACCAAATTTGTTGTAGGTACAAAATGGAATAGTTAGGGAAATCAAAGTCAAAATATTGTAATTCAAGTCACTCAATTCTCCATCTTTCTTGATATTCCTCACTAGGATGTGTGTGACTGTGATTCCACGGCCCTTTTACATGGTTTGATTCTTGACATATCATATTGAACTCAGTCATGTGAAGAAAACCAATCTGGTTTGGTACCACTAAGAATCTAGCAAAAATGGAAAGACCACACTAATTTGTGGGTAACCTTTTATTATTTATTTATTTATTTCAGGACGAAGGGTCTCACTTTCAATGTTTTTAATATAATATTATTTGATATTTTACTATTTTCCTTTCCCAAAAGCTATTTTCTAAAAGAGTTGTTTATAGATTCAAATTAGCAAGACCAACTTGACTCTTAACCAGTTTGTTATACGAAGGAATTTTTATTACATTAACCTGTTTCTGGATCAGCTGCAAAACGCAGAAGACTGAGAGAACTGGATACAAGTATTGATGAAAGAACTAGCTTTCTGGGTAAGGCAATATCTAGAATACAAAATTTTAATACCAAAAAAATAAGTTGTAAATTTAGAGAGAGAGATAAACATAGTGAATTGCCCTAACAAAAGATGGAACCAAATTGCTTGCAATTAGTAATTCTGCTTGAGCATTGATAAACTGTGTTATCTAAAAAATCTTAAACACTGTTCACATTGTAAGTTACAGATCATAAACAAAACTTTAGACAGAAGGGAACAACACTGAAGATAATTTTTTGGCTATATCAAGTATAGAAGGTGGCCTTAGGTAAACTAGGATAGAAATTTGAGTATGGAGTCAAATCAAAGTAGGAAGATTAACAATCCAAGAACCAAGGAGGAAGCCACAAAGCATTGATGTGTGCTCATATGGCATGCTGAGAAGGCTAATTTTTTTCTTCATTTTTCCCCCTCAAAAGGTCAGGAATTCATTATCAGGGACATGGAAAAAAATAATAATTTAATCTTTCAGTGAATAAAAAATATTTTTGAAAATAAAAAGTCACATGAAAAATATTAAAATTAAAAAACTCAAAGTATAAAGGATTAGTAATTGGGAGTATGCTACATTTCTAGTAGTGTGAAAAGCTTTTTTCTTCATACATGAAATTTATTTATTTCATGTCTAAGGCAAATGTGTCTTTTTTCAAAGAGTGGCTTATTGTAAAATTTAAAGAAATATGATCTCAGCCAGTTCAAATGAATCTCTAACACAACTCAAAGTGCATCCGACTAGTTTCTTTCTTATTTCCAACATTGAAAGAACGGCAGCTTGGTGTACCTATGGTTCCTAGAAACCAAATTTATTTTCAGCAATTGAAAGCATTTTACTAACAAAAAATCACATGCAATGATATTTTCAAAGAAGCATCAAGACTACGACATTTATCATATAAAGAAAGACCTCAAAGACAATACAAGATGGTGCTTATTCATTCTGGTTTGCTTTGCCTTCATTTTTTGCATTATATGTTGCTCTTCAACAAAATTAAGAAATGTGTAAATGTATTTTAAACCCATAATTAATAAAGAACATGAAAGAAAGACCTTTGGCATCATATCTGGAGTTGCAATTAATTTATCAAACTCCATGAATCCTCCCTTTATTTGACTTATCAAATCTTCTCCACCAATCAGATCAGCTCCAGCATTTTTAGCTTCATCAAATTTTTCACCTGCATATAGGCATTCAGGAATCAGTTACATATAATGAGCTCAGGAAATAGCAATACAATTGGATTTAGAGCACTAGATATTTCTCACACGCAGACATTGCCATACAAAGAATCTGAGAATCATGAATTCGAGCATCATGCATGAGAGACATAGCAAGATGCATGGAAAATGATGGCTTAGCATCTAGCATGTCAAGGAAACAATTACAAGTGAAGTAAACAGGATGACTAACTTAAAATAAACCAAACAGAATGATTAACATAAAATAAACCGATCAAAATACTCATTCAGATGACGAGCTCAAGTGTCAAATCAATATCTTCTATCCCAAAATCTAGCCAAAAGAATTCAAAAAGAAAATGATGAAAAGAGTACTTAGTCATAAACCCTCTGAACAAAATAGAAGAGAAATGAAAACGTCACACTCAAAAGGCAACGGTGCCTTCTGTTTTGACAAGTATAAATTGAGAATGAAGATGCTAACTACCACGGCACTGTACATATATATTTGACCTCATTAACTCCACAGCACATCCTCACACCAGCCTAGCTACCACAAAGATGGGCACCATTCATATTCTCAATACAAAGAGCAAACCATTAGAATATCATTGAAGCTCACCCCATACTGACACCATCTCTTTATATGCAAAACCTACACAGCACAAAAATTTGCATATGTAATGGTTAACCAAAATAACCTCCAAAGACTGTCCACAATAAAGAATCACCATATGAAGAGTTGATGCCTTCTAAGTCCCAAATATGCAAAGGCTAGCTTAACGCCCCCTTAAAACTTCCCAACTGAAACAACTCCTAGTCTTGAGTGCTTTGGACAAAATGTGATCTTTCCATTCCTCCAAGTTCCACTAAATATTATAAACAGATGACATTTCCATTTTACAATCTGGTTATGCTCTCCCAAAATTGGCTCCCATGGCACTAGAACTTTAGAAGACCTCCAATAGCCCACAGTCCACATGAGACATCTCAATACTGGGACAGTTTTCCTATTACGCTGCAGAGTTTGAATTGACTGTATCTCATATACCACAGCATGCATGGGTTATTAAATGAAATCAAGTACTTTCAATTTCAACAATCCAAACAAAAATTTCATGTATAATCTCAACATAAGATATAAATACAAACAGAAAATGAAACCTAAGAGTTCTAATACTAAACATTTCACTTCTCAAAGTCAATTTCATCAGTTTAATTTACTTTGTGAAGTATCTAGTGAAATTTAGTAATTGAAGAAGGGAGATCCAAGGCTCTGGGAAGAACTTTTGTGTGCCTAGCAACCAGTCAATTCTGCTAATAACACCTATAGGTGAGTAGATGATGTTATTCAACTTATCCCTATCCGATTTTAAAAATTTGACATTTACTGCACAGTCATGGGACATAACCCATGATTCCTTTATCCTGTAGCTTAAAATAATAATTCATGCTAAGGCAGACTCTCCTTCAGCAATCCTGAATAAGCAATCATCTGATCCATGGACTCAAGATTGAAGTAGGAAAAGAGAAATATAGGATTAACTCCGTCTAAGATTAGTAATCACTCAAAGGATTCAAAAAATGAATAAATTAATTAATTAAAAACATAAACAAAGATTTGATATAACATGGGCTCCAATTAAAAAAAGTAGACGTGTGAAATACATAGCTGTGAACATGGGCAGTTGCAAGGAGGAAAACATAAACTTTCTTGTCAGTATATGCTACATGCATCATGGTATTACTTACTAGCCATAAAGATTTATTGAGGTTTACACAAACAGACTGCTAGAAAAATATGGCAGTAAACATGCAGAGGAAGAAAAACGTACTGAAATTAAACAGTGCAATGAGAGAGTGGAAGATTCATGTCCAGTGGGATAAAGTAATGAGAAGACTGACAGAACGGCTGAGAATGATTCTCTCTAATAGATAACTGTTGGTAGGAATTGGAAGGAATGGTTTCATCATTATAGCTGGAAGGTTCGTGTTTCATGGAAGTCATTAGAAAACTGAAAGGAATGTCCAAGAATGATTATCTTTAACAGATAACAGTTGGTAGGACATTGGAAGGATGTGATTTCAGCATGATAACCTGAAAAGTAGGTACTCACCCCATTAACCAAGAGCTTTAGATCTCTTCATGGTTCACATTGGATAAGGAATCCCTAGAACCATAAGACATTTGAATGGTCAGACAGGGTGGTGGTTTCATTATTTATACAGCCTTGAAAACTTGGGATGTTAACATGATGAAATCATTGCTATACTTACTTCATCCACTTCAGTGTACACCTTAGAGATCAAAAGATTCCTTATGGTGTTCAAATTTGAAGCTTAGAAGTTTGTATGCATTCCTATTATTGAAATTGAATTAGGAATATACAAAGGCATAGTTCTCATTCCTTCCATTTGGTGGCCTACTACCTCCCTGTGTGGCTTTCCCAACACTAACAAAGGACATAACATGGGAATGAACTTGGTACGATAGCCTCTCATGAAAGTAAATATGCTAAATCCAGCTCAGAAATCTTGATTATGGGGATACCATCCTTTATATTGACTTTTATTGAGTTTTTTGTGAGACAAAGCTTTTGAGCATGGTGGATCCACTTTATCGAACACAAAGGACACACAAAGGTTGGGTTGGAACCTCTTGGTACAATTTCCTAATAAATTTTACATGCATAGATACACAAACCATTATTTAAAAAGGGAAAAAAGAGAGAAAGAAAAGCTAAAAAATAACAAGTAACAACCTTGTGTAAGAACAGCCACTCTAACAGTCTGTCCTGTTCCCTTGGCAAATTCACCTATCATGAAAAATATTATACATAAATTAATTGTGACATGAATAAGTCCAAGAGACTTCATCTTATTTACATAGAACAAATAAATGCTTAGAAACTCACAGTTGCCCTCAGCTGTTGATCATTGTATTTTGGGTCAATGTTAAGGCGGAAATGAGCTTCTGCTGTTTCTACAAACTTTGTTCTTGCCATTTGCTTGAGTAGTGAAATTGCATTTTTTAAGTTGTATTCTTTCTTGTTCTCCCTTAAATTCTGGATTTCCAAGAATCTCTTAGATCTCCCCTAATAATCCCAAACAGAAAGAAAGAAAAACAAGAGAAACAAAAGTAAGGATAGGATTTTGTAAACAAGATTAAACAAATGCTAAGAACAGAACTATATTGCAAACATAAATAAACAGAACTGTAAGTGGGCCATAGCCACAGTGACAAAATCTCATCCAGGAATCGTTCCTTTGAAAATAATTGAGTAGTTGCATAGTTTTCATAACTTAATTTTCTTTCTGAGGAAAACCTCATAATGCTTCAAAAAAGTTTTTGAATAAAAAATTAAATTCCTCATTTTAGAACATGAGATCGTTTATTGCAAGAGGTGATTCAGTCTCAGATCAGTATGAACAGCACCCAGTATACTATCCCATCAGCCAAGGAACAGAAAGAAACATATAAAGAGGAAAAGAAGGTGATATAAGTAGGATGACTGTCAAATGGAGTAATCACAGAAAGAATAAAATAATAGACCGGCCATCAGAATAGGAAAAAAACATATAGAATATAGCTCCACTTAGCTCTATTTATAAGCCACTTTTTCTTGCTTATGCTTTTTGGCAACACATGAATCAAATTCTCAATTTGGATTTCTTCTCCCTTTGGTATTTTCCCTTTAACAGTTCCAATTGAGATAGATACTTATAACCCAACCCAAATGGAGCTTCAAAATAAAAGAGAAGATGAAATAAGTATAAATGTTGACTTTGTTGAAAGGTAGCACTAGAAGATATTCAGAGATCAATCTTGGAGAGCTATAATGAAGACAAAGTACACGCAAAAAACCCACTAATAACAACAATATACCCACCTTAAAATAACAAAAACAAACTTGAGGGATGGAAGAGGCCCACATCTCACTTTAATAGCATCATGCAAATTGGTATGGATGTCAAAAATGCATGAATGGTGAGTGTTTGGTACCCCAAAAACCCAGGGATTTTGGATATTAATGCCTGGTCTTTTGGCCTTTTAATTTTATGCTTGTTACCCTTTTGGAATTTGAAACTTTGGGCCTCTTAATCCCCAAAACAAGAGATTATTTTAAAGATCAAACCTGGTGCTTTTAAGCCCCCCCCCCCCCTCTCTCTCTCTCTCTCTCTCTCTCACACACACACACACACACACACACATACACACACACACACATATCAAGAAAAAAAAACCCTCATATCAAACATTCCTGGACTTTAAAATCCCTAAGTTCTTCCAAAAGGAAAAAAAAAAAAAGAAAAAAAAAAAAGAAATATTCCTTGGGCTTTGAAATTGCCCATACCAACACCCCTAAATTGGGGTTTACCTAATTCTCTAATTTAGCACATTCTGACCCAATTCAAGATAAATGTTGTGAAGCCAAAATTCCACAAGAATTAAAATTACTAAACTCGAGCAAAACCCATAATCATAAAAAAGGCATGCACGTTTTGTAGAAATATGAAGAAAATAAGAGAACCGACTCTTCAGAGGCACCACATGTCTCATTTTAAACCCATTGTGCAAATTAGTACGTATTCAAAAACTTATGGATTTTAAATTGAGTAGCACCTGAATTACATAATTTATGGAATCAACCAAAACCCTACTGAAACTTAAATTCCACAATAAGCAAAATTGCTGTAATAACGCAAAACCAGAACTTAAAATCATAAACGGCATGCATATTCCAAATAAGTCTCTCTCTCTAACACACACACACACACACACACAGATGAGATTAAGCATACTACCATCCTCCTTGGGCATTGTTGGGGGCGTGATATCAGGACTAAGAGCATTTTTGGGTTTTATTTTGTCTTCGGTTTGCATTATCTCCATTTTTGAAAACAGAAAACGTTGAAAATTTTATAATTTTTTTCACATTTTTATTTTCAACGAGATTAGTTTATGGCATTATGAAAATAACTTCTCATAGGTTTTAGACAAGGGGTCTGTTTTTGAAATTCTTCCATGAATCATTCTCCAAAGCAATCTGCCTAATAGATATTAGCTTTCAAAACAAAATCGAACGGAACCTAGAATTCCACAATAATCAAGGTCATCAAATTCAAGAAAAACCCAGAAACATAAAAGCATAAATAGCCGCATATTTCACAAAAATATAAAAAACAAACACAGAAATGAGATTATCCATACTCTATCTCTCTTCAGAGGCAAAGCAGCCTTGCCCTTCTTGGGCTTCGTTGGGGGCGTCACACCAGCAGCCTCACCTTCTGCAACAGCTTCCTCTTGTTCCACGGCCTCTGCTACTTCTGCTTCGGCAGCTAAAGCGGCCACCAGAACTGGACTGGCAGAAGAAACATCGACCCAATTGCTCGATTTTCTGTCTCGTCGATTCAGCAAAACGGGTAGATAGAGAAGGCCTTGGAGCAGTTGAAGAAGCGTAGATTGGGTCTAAATGAGAGAGAGGAGGGGTTTAAGTCTTGTGGAAGAACAGAGGAGGTGGAGTAGGAAAGCATGAGAGAGGAGGGAGTAGCAGAGGAAGCCATTGCTGCCTCTCAGTCTGTGCTTATCGAAATGTCTCCACTTCTGCTGCCGTCTATCCGCATAATAAATGAAGATAAGTCGCACCTTAACGTCCTTTATAATACCCAAGTACTTACTCCAGAGGGCCTCTACCGTCTACGAGCGCGAGAGAGCGAGGGAACTTGTGGACGGCCTTGAAGCATTATTTTTGTGGTCTGCCTCTTTCTTTTCTTTTTCTTTTTCTTTTTCTTTTACGCGTTTTAAGAGTAACATACCTTTCAAGGTTAAAATAGTAAATAACTAAATATAAAAATATATTATTTTTTAAAACTAACTTATTTTTGTTCAATAACAATAATTTCTATTTTTATGTCATCTAAAAGTATATAATTAAAATATTTTTAAAATTGGGATGATGCGTTTACTTGTTTTAAATGATTACAGTATTTATTTCAAGATGTATGCCATATTAATTTTTTTAATCACTCCTTTTTTTTATTTAAGCTATTTATTTCTAGAAGGCATAAATTCAAGACTTTTATGGCTTTTAAAGTGATATGTGGCACCAAAAATTTATAAATTTTGAAATTTCTAATATGGACCTTTTGAATTTTTAAGATATAAAAATAATAATATTAAACAATTTTAAACTTTTAACAGTTCTAAAATTCCCATTATTCAAGGAGAAATAAAGCCTTCAGTCTGAAAATCTAATTTTTTTTTTTTTTAAAAAAAGAATTTGCTTTAGAAGATTTTGTACCAAAAAGAAACTTCAAAAAAGTTAAAAACTTTTAAAATTTATATTTGGTAAAAGGGTTTTTTTTCTACACCAAGATTATTTTTGTATCTTAAGAGCAAAAGCCATAAAATGAAGTTTCTAGAAGAGTCCTAATTTTAGGTTTAGAAGTCCTAAATCTTGCTCATTAAACTCTAGAAAACCCTAATGCCGAAGGTTTTACTGGCCTCAAACATGCCATCGTTCTTGCAGGATAAACCAAAATCTGTCAGGTGTAGGATTTTTCTTCTCTGGTTAGGATTAAGGACCTTTTGGATGTTTTTGGTTTAGGATTTTTGAAATGAATGTTTGACTTATGGACTTTTTTTATATAGAAATTTTCTTTAACTATTCTCAAAATATTGGAAAGATTGATTTTATTTCTATATTTAGAGACATTGGGAAGGATTGATTTTATATTTAGAGATATTACAAATTAGGAAGGCTGTAAATTAGGTATTTAATTTATTTCCTTTATTGTCTAAATATTAGTTTACAAATTACGTTGTAAATGGAGATGTAATTATTTAGAAAAATTAATAAATAATTCTTTTATTTATATATATATATATCTATATATGTGTGTGTGTATTGTAAAGGATTGATTTTATATTTAGGGATATTGTAAATTAGGAAGACTATAAATTAGGTATTTTATTTATTTCCTTTCTTGTCTAAATATTATTTATAAATTAGATTGTAAATGGAGATGTAATTATTTAGAAAAATTAATATATAATTCTTTTATTTTTCTATACACACACACACTCCCAAAACCCTACCTTTTTCTTCGTCGAAGCCACTGACGTTTGCCATAGCTAGTAATAGAGCATTTTCTGAAGCTTGTCAGCGACGCCGAAGACCATTGCAAAGTCTCCGTTGCTTCGTTTGTGTGGCTCAAGCACTAGCTAGAGTGGTCTAAATTAAGTCCCAGATTGCAACTAAGCACACTTCACTTTAACAATTCAAAGAGAGGCCTAAGTTTGATATTTGTACAATCTCAAAATCCCTCCACCTCGTCAACTGCCAAAATAATGTTCAGATTTTAATATTTAAAAGTTCGAGAAGGGGGTCCTACGAAACATTCTCTAAATAGGTTATGACTTGATTTGATTATATTCTAAAATGTATTTATATTATTTAATAATAATTTAGAAATGCATATCACAGGTGAAAAAAGAAAGACATAATATAAAAATATTATATATTATAAATAATAATTTTATTAAATTAAATAAAAATAACACGAAATTTAAGGATAATAAGTATAAAAATAAAGTATTATAAAGTAATATTAAAATTCATGTTGAGAACTTAAATAAAGAACGAAAATTCAATATGATGATCATACTTTGCATTTTTTAATTGAATTTGTCCATTAAATATTGAAAGTGTAATTAATAATTGTATTAAAATTAAGAAATTAAAAATTAAGTATTATATAAAGATAATATATCAATTATAAAGTATTAAATATTATTTATCAAACTCAAATTCATATTATTAACTCAAAACTCATATATAATAAATATTAAAGAGCTTATACGTAATCAAACCTACAACATATTTATTATTATAATCAAATTATAGATAATCTTAGATAATGAATAAAAAAATGGCCCATGCAGGAGAAAATATAATTTCAAAATATCATATAAAGTTTGAAAATATAATGAAAAGTATGCTATCAAGTTATTTAAATTCAATTCAAATCCAACAATCCCTAAAATACAAAGTTAAAATGCATGATTCATATGATTATTAATCTTTTTTTTTTT